TCTGTTTCCTTCGCGTGTCTTGCGCATTACTGGCCAGCGTTTGATAAGAGTGTATTGCAGCAGTCTAACCAGGAAGCTATCAGTTGATGGATTAAAGGCCATAGGTGGTGTACCAGTCAATGTTGGCCTCAGGCACTCCAAGCCACAGTGTCCTCTTGGGCTTCCAGTGACAGAGATGGATCTAGGAGGCCTGTCATCATGCTCCTCAAGGGGGAATGGAACCCCATCCAAGGTAGGTAACCTTCTAAAACCCAGGTCTATGAACTGCCAATCCACAGAACTTCTGTTTTCTTGAGATTCATACCATTATATTCATTCTTCCTTAAAAAAAAATTAAAAGTTTTGCAAAAGTAACTATAACTAATGATCCTTTAAAGTAAATTTTATTTTTATTTAAAGTAAAGTAAAAAGTAACAATCCTCAACAGGGAGAGGCAGAATACAAATAAATTTATTATTATTATTATTATTATTATTATTATTATTATTATTATTATTATTATTATTATTATTTTGATTACTTTTGGAAAATAAAAAAAAACACTTTACAATTGCAATTGTAATTCGAACTAGTTAATTAGCGGCTTCAGAACTCTGACTGTAAGTAATTACTCTTCAAAAGTAAATTCCTACGCTCTGTTTCAAATATTGCCACTCCAAAAGAAAAAAAAAATAACTAGAATCCTGCTGAAGATTTACATACGTATAAATGCTGTAGTTACGACGTTACACAATGAATCTTGTCCCAGTCCCCTCTAATCTCAATTTACCGGGAAGCAGCTGCTATGGTTGAGAGGGGTCTGTTCCCCTGTTGCTTGGGAAGCAGCTAACTAACAGTCCCACCTCATCCCATGAATGATCTCTGGTGTCACAGGCAGAAGTGGGGTCCCTGTTGCAATTGCCTCTTGCACTGGAGATTGCTTGTGTGGAGAGGAGGGATAGGAATGGTCAGCCAACTGTTTCATGATTGATAGGAAGAGACCCCATCAATTGCAGCAGTGGTTTCCTTGTAAATGGAGATTGCGGGACTTTCATATTCCCTATGTAGCTGCTAAGCCAGGGGCTATGTAGGGACTGTGAATACAAAACAGTCACAAGTGCATGACTCTCGGTTATGCATTCATAAGTATTCTGGCCAATGGGCTTAATATATTCATAAAGGAATTTGTAAAAATAGAACAAATTGGAAGATATAAAAAGGATCCAAAGAGGTGAGAAGAAAAGAGACAAAACAGAAAAGATGGTATGTTAATCAAATAGGAAAGTACAAGGCCTGAAAAACTGAGATACTAGTGTGTTTGTGTGTATATAAAATTATATTATAATAGTATATTGCACATTATACACTATAATAGTATCTTATTATACCATTATTGATACTATTAAACTATTGGTTTGTTTTAGCCATACAGGAGCATCTACACTGACCTGTTTATTTATATTTCTGTGATGCAGTTCTTGGTTTCAACTGACAACTGTTATTCGAATTTAAGGTGAGGTATTGGCTTAATTTTGTTCTGTGTTTCTTCTTCTATGTAAATCTTCATGGATTAAAAATAATATCCACTGGCTATAACAATGATCTTGTGTCTGCCCCCAAGGCTGTGGTGTTCTCTCTTGTTTTGTTCTTAACGTCTGTTGCCATGTCCTACACAAAACTGATGTGCTAAAATGTTAATGATTCAATGATCATGAGCAGCTTGAAGAAATGCAAATATGTTTGCTAATGACTGCTATGCATCAAAACCCAAAGACATTTTTAATGTATTGTTAGTGAATGCCAAGAGCATTCTAATCTGAATGTACTCTAGTGCATATGAAATTATCATTTTTTTCTCTCTCTTCCACCTAAAATATGAATTCTGTAGAAAAAACACAACCCACCCTTTTCCTGCTTAGTGAAGTCAGGCACCTTGGTCTCAGTGGAAGACTGAAGGCACACACTGGAGATCATTTAGTGTAAGCCTCCTAACACCTTATAATTATACAACTGGAAGCTCAATGACTGTTTATATGTGAAATGGGAATTCTAAGCTGTATAATCAGCTGGAACCAGAGACAGTGATTTTCTAGATTAATTAATGCAGTGTATAGGGTTGACACATTTCAAGGCTTAGCCTTGAGTCTTCAGTTTTCATGGGTCATTTCTAGGTAGGAGATGAGAGTACAGATTCTCCAGTTTTGAGGAACTCAGTTGCAGGCATACCTGGAACTGTGTCTATCTCCAGCTCGGCCATTAGAGTACCAGTTGGTTCCAGTTTCTAAGGGTCAATGGATTTGTAGACTAGGTTAAATGCTTCTTACCACAGCTCTCTGAGTAAGTGAGAAGGAAGAATCCCCTAATTTCATCTTAATCTGGAAAGACCTCCTATAGGTGGATTTGTGTCTTAATTTTCATTCAGGAAAACATGTTCTGCGTTTGTGCGTGTTTCAGTGGCAAGCTGTGAGAAACTGTGATTGGTACTTAATGCATAACACTTCATGACAACATCCCATGATGATCCTGAAATGGCAACCCAAGACTTTATTTTGCAGGAAGACTGATTGGCATGTCCTCCCAAATCCTCACAGTGAACTCAATTAATCTCTTGGCAGTTGCTGCCAACATGGGACCTTTCTGCCTCTGCTCTGAGCAAGATCATTTGGTGTTGCCTCTTAAGGTGTTTGATCAAGCTGCTAATATGTAATGCCCTGATGCTTTGCCCCTGCTCATTTGTTCCTTTCAGTGAAGGTAGATAGCAATTCTGCCTTTTCTGTGCTGAGTAGTTTGCCTGCCTTGCATCATGGGGCCTACTTCTGTCATGATGCTGTTTCTGTTTCTGTGCTGGTCACCTCCCTGTCTCTGATCTTCAAGCTCAGATAAAGCTTTCCTGATTAAAAAGAGGACACAGAGAAACCAAACTCAGATGACAATCAACAACTGTTCAAACCCTCACCACAGCTCTTCCAATGATCTACGGCTAATGATAAATGAACAAAAAGATGCAGAAGAAACTGACTATATACATTAAAGCAGGGGTAGGCAACCTTTTCCCTTTAAGGGCCGAGGGACTTCAGCTCCCAGAAGCCTCTTCCATGTTGGCCAATAGTCCCATGTTGACCAATAGCTCCTGGGATTCTGGGAGCTGAAGTCCCTCGGCCCTTAAAGGGGAAAGGTTGCCTACCCCTGCATTAAAGGATCTATCATAACTCTTCTCATAAGCACTGTGGTTGGAGAGTGTGGTGAGATTGTTGTGTGACTTCAGGTCATTTCCAACATGGCATTCTAAGGGATTTTTTGGGAAGTTTTTCTTCAGAGGGGGTTTGCCTTTGCCATTCTCTGAGGCTGAGAGAGTGTGACTTGCCCGACATCACCCGATGGGTTTACATGGCTGAGCTAGGATCCAAACTCTGGTTCCCAGGGTTGTAGTCCAATGCTCAAACCACTGTACCATGCTGACTGACCCATTTTACATGGCAGTGCTGTCAATGATCAAGTCCACCTCTTCCTTCCCCCATCATCTTTTCAGCTTGGCAGTTTTATTATATAGCTGTGTTGGAAGCACACTGTCTGGCTTTTTCCCACTCATCTGAATTGTTTCAGAATGTGCTCCAAACTGGACCAACCTGATTTAATCTTAATCGGATATCAATTGCTTGGAATTGTCTTAACTAGCATCTACAGTGTGCCCACTTCTTACGCGGGCTTGCCATCCTTAAGCTTATGTGGATGGCAAGCCCCTGGATGTTAATATGGCATGTGCGTTCATGGGAGCACTTGGCCATAGGAAACAACGGGACTCAAGATCCCACATTTTTTGGCATCCGCGGAGGGATCCAAAATGGATCCCCTGCATATAGCAAGGGCCCACTGTACTAAGCATGATGCAGTCTGCTTGTTGTAGTTTTGTGCCCTCAAGTTATTTCTGACTTATGACAACCCTAAGGTGATCCTATCATGGAGTTTCTGAGGCTGAAAGAGTGTGACTCACCCAAGGTCACCCAGTGAGTTTCCATGGCTGAGCAGGGAATCGAACCCTAGTCTCCAAGGCCATAGTCTATCACTCAAACCACTACACCATGCTGGCCCTCTCCTTATTTCTTCCTATATGCATTAGCTGATTTGCATCATTTTTAGTCTAATGTCTGCAGAAATTAATGCCTTCACAGGCACCAAATGAAACTTCAAAGTGTGTAATCTTTTGCAGCATCTACTGGATAGAGTTCAGTTAGTCTGAGGGCTTTATGTGTTACAAAAAGCAAAGAAAATGAAACACAGGAGTGCAGTGCATAAGTCACAGCATATCATACTGCATGAAAAGGGAATTAATGTTTCCCCCCCCCCCACTATAATATATGAACTTTAGATATGTGTGAATGTGTGCAGTAGGCAAAAGGCATGGGACTGCAGCACCCATTCATCTAGTTTTTAAAAGATGGGCTGGGGGTGCTGTACTGTTTTAATTGTACTGTTTTTATGTGCTTTCATCTTTTTTTAAAAATGCATTTTATTCTTTTTATGTGTGATGCTTTTTAACACTGTAATAGTTAATTCTATTTTAATGCTCACTTTTTGTATGCTTTTAATTGTATTGTTCTTTAGCAACTTTGAGTCCCAATTTTTGGGGAAAAGTGGGATAGAGTCCACCCACACTATAGGTGGGCTTCCTGTATGCAGACTTGATATCATGTGGACAGCACACCACACGCAGGAGAATGTGCCCATTGTTTTCAGTGGGACTCGAGCATGGACAATTTGGCCATATGTGGGGTTGGTGGTGGTGGTCTGTAATGGATCTCCCACTTATAAAATGGGTCCACTGCATAAATATAAATACAGTAGTAGTAGTAGTAGTAGTAGGAGCCCTGGTGATGCAGTGGTTAAATACCAGTACTGCAGCCACAAGGTTGTGAGTTTAATCCCCAGGGCTCCAAGGTTGACTCAGCCTTCCATCCTTTCATAAGTTGGTAAAATGAATACCCAGCTCATTGTAAACTGGTTAGAGAGTGCTGAGTTCACTGATAAGCAGTATAGAAATGTACATGCTATTGCTAGTAGTAGCAGGAAACACTGGGACACTTGCACAAATATCTGTTTCAAAAATAAACTCAGTTTTTCTTATATGGATATGTCATCATGATGTGAGTTGTCTGTATAATTTATTTTTAAAGGAGTGAATGCAGTATCTGCTAGAGAGCTAATTAAAGATCAAAGAAACTAACCTAGGAGAAACAAGGGAGGATCCTATGCCTGGCTACATGCCAGAAGTAGGACTGCAAAGAATGCTTAGATTTTCTGTCCTCTGTGTCCTTGTCACCTCACTGAAAAAAAAACATTTTCTGCCTTTGTGAGATTTCTTGCTCCTGGGGAAGTGTGCAAAGACCACTATTCTTTTTGCATTATGGGCCTTCAAGTTGACTCTGACTCATGCTGACCATATCCCAGGATTTTCTTGGCAAGATTTATTTACAACATGCTGCCCATGTTGGCAGCAAGATTAATTCACAGTTTGCTATTCCCTTTCTCTGAGGTTGAAACGTAGAGGATCTTTCCCAGGATCATCTAGTGCATTGGTTCTCAAACGTTTTACCCTTGTGACCCCCCCCCCATACATCTACATCTACATGCAGATGTTGTGCCCTCCCTCAATGTAGTATATGAATAAAAATAATTTGTTTAGTGTGCATATTTTTATTTGCACATTCATGTATATTCACATTTTAACATTTTATAAGGAAATAGCATTTTATAAGGAAATTCAAATTAGGACAGATTTATTTAAATAATTTCAATATTTAACTCAACACATGTGTAAATTTTACACATAAAAAAAGTTTGGGAAGAAAAGGAGGAGGAATATAAGGGCCTCCAAATTTCTCAGCCCTCCCCCCTTGAGCAACCATCCTGCCCTTTCAGAGGTCCTGCCCCATGATTTGAAAATCACTGATCCACTTTTTCCATGGCCAAGTAGAACACTATATTCTCTTAACCATGTGACCACACTGGCTCTCTTAAATGCTCCAGGGATCAGTAACATGTTTGTGCCCATTGGCTACAATTGCTTCTTTCTTTCCATGAAAGTCTCCAGGGACCAGCAGCTGGTGGCTCAGGGACTGGCACTAATCCATAGACCATCACTTTGAGGAGCATTAGTCTATGTAAAAGAGGGGATAGAACTTATCAAATAGAAGGGGAAACCCTCAAGTCATCTTAACTGCATCACTGTCTGTGTCCCTTCAAGTCACCTGTTGACTTACGGTGACACCATGAATTTTCATAGGGAAGAAATGCTTGGGTGGCTTTGCCAGTTCCTTCCTTTGAAACATAGTCCACCGCATGTGGTATTCCTTGCTGGTTTCCCATCCAAGTACTAATCAGGGTTTCAAGATCAGACAGGATCTGGTGTATTTAGTATATTTAGGCCATAGCTCACTGTAGGTTTCCCTTATCTTTTGCACAAAGCTTTGCTAGTCTTTTCTTCACTTCTAACCAATTTAATATAGTAAATATCTCTTCTGAATATGATGAGACTTAAGGTTTGCACATTCTAGAGATGTTGGGGCCTGTTGAGACCATAGGTTTGGAATCAGAAGTTCTTTATGCAAGAAAAGAGATACATTATTTTTTTTAAAAAATGTGCAATATACTCCCCACTCCAATTTCTCTCTATCACTCAGTCTCACTGTGCTAAGTCACACACTGTTCTAGAAATCCCTTTTTTGTGAAGAACAGGTTTAGGAGTTGGGGAGAAAAGGAGTGAGGCAGGAAGCCAAAAAGGAAAACACAATGAGCTTGGTTCACAGATATGGCTATGCAGAACAAAATGCTTAAAGCATAACAATTGCAGAGAGATGCCTCAATGTGTTGACTTCTATACATCAGACATGAATGACTGTCTTGTCTCAGAGGCATAAAGACATTTGCAATGCAAGCAAAAAATGGAAACAAGCTGCATCATCTTTCCAGATGTACTGCAGATGTACTGCATTGTGCATGGAAGGATTTACTGGATATTCACTTAGAAGTTGTAGCCAAGATCACTTTCTAAATATTTGTTATAATTCTCTGGATTGCAGTTGCTGCATCAAGGTTATACAGTATTAAATATTCATAAAATAAAGTCCAGGGAAAAATATAATTGCAAGTAATAGCAGTTGAGGTAGAGTGCATTATTCATGAATCCATTTGTTAAAATGAGACAGTGGGACTTGATGAAAGACTTTAAAGCTGCAATCCTATACTTACTTACTTTGAAGTAAATGCCATTGAACCTAATGGGGCTTACTTCTGAATAGATGCCTATATGGTTATAAAGCACCTTGTCACTTTTCTTGACAGGAGCACACTTTAAAGCTTTTTTGAAGGGTGTAAAGAGGCTGAATACATCTGTTCATGACCTATTTTGAATCCAGTTTTAGTTCCCCATTGGTGTCCTATGGTAATGGAGTCCCATTACAAACAGTTGTTACAAGACTGAAATTTTCAAAGAAATAGCTGTGTTAGTCTGTTGCAGCATAAAAGGGAAAAAGGGGAGGGGAGGGAAAAGGGAATCTAGCTGTACCTTTAAGGCTAACTTTCATTTTAGCATGAACTTTCATGGGTATCAATCTACTTCTTCAGATACAATACAGAGTGATATTAAAGTTGTGGGAGTGAGATAGAATATAATAGGATTATGCATTATGCTTATAAATAGTATTAATAAATATTATTAAGTGAAAAATGGATGGGATGAGGCTTCTGGTTTCATGGAGATAGGGCTGAAAATTGATTCACTGCCTCTTGGACTTTCCAATTTACATATTATTTACATATTTTATAAATTGCTTATTTTATAAGAAATTTTTAAAGGCTTTTTCTGATTTCTTGATTATAGTCTCCATTTTGATTTGATGGCTGAGCCAACATATAGGAAATGTTTGACTAACTTAATATCTTCATTATCTACTTTAAAGTTATGTAAATAATCTGTGGGCATTATTTTTGTTTTTTTAATGTTCAACTGTAAATCTGCCTTTGCACCTTCTTATTTGAGTTTCTGCAATATTTGTTCCATGCCTTTGCTATCTTCTTCTTCTAGTATAGTGTCAGCTGTATATCTTAAATTGTTGATGTCCCATCCTCCAATTTTGCACCTCTTTCCTCTGAGTCTAATCTGGTTTTGCACATGATACATTTAGCATACAACTTAAACAGATAGGGTAATAAAATACAGCCCTGCCTGACCCTGTTGCCAGTTGGAAAGCGTTTAGTTTCTCTGTATTCTGTCCTAGCCTCTTGTCCTAAGTAGAGGTTACATATCAGGACAATCAAATGCTGTGGCACACACATTTCTTTAAGAGTGATCCATAGTTTTTCATGATCTACACAATGAAAGACTTTGCTATAAGCTATAAAGAACAAGCTGATTTTCTACTGAAATTCTTTGGTAAGCTCCATTAGTGAATACACAGTATGTACTCAACTATAAGTCGACATCATATATAAGTCAAGGGCAGGTTTTGGGGCCAAATTTTATGGATTTTTATATGACCCATGGATAAGTCAAGGGTAAAACTTAGGGACATGTAACAAAGAATGTAAATGATAAAGCAAAGGAAAGTGATGCCAAAAAATTTACACAATTCCAGCAGGCATTACTGTTTGTGCTCATGCTAAATGCTGGATGGATGAAAGACTAGAGCAGGATCAGCGCTTCCAGGACAAATTACACTCTGGCCTTTCACCAGGGAAAGGTTCCTTTTATGATAAGAATTAAAGTATAGTACTTACATTGACCAGTGGATAATTTGATTCAGGTTCTTTGGATCAATTTTTTGACAAAAATTTCTAGACTAATACATGGGTATGTACAGTATGTTTGCAATATAGTCCCTCATGCCTTTTCCTCTTCTGACCCCAGCTTGGATAGCTGGCATTTCTTGCTCCATATATGGTAAAGGTCTTTGCGGTAGAATTTTGAACATAATTTTGCTTGTCCTAAAGATTAATCCAATGGCCCGGTGGTTACTGAACTACCTGATGTACCCTTTCTTGAAGCATTTCCAATCTCTGGGTCATTTTGGAGACCATTTGGGGACAAAATAG